CCCTATATATGGGAATATACTGTGCGACGTTAAAAGTGTAGGATAACTGCGTATGATTTCTTGACTATAATGATAACTGCGTATGATTTCTTGACTATAATGATAACTGCGTATGATTTCTTGACTATAATAAAAAAATAAAAATGGTTTACACGCCAATTTCACATATACAGTATTATTCGTGACCTCATTTCAGATGTCATGTTTGATCACGCGGGGGTAGAGATGATAATTGTGACGCGTAAACCATCTTTACAAAAAACATCAAAATGTCACTTTAACAGTACTACAAATACCAGTTTCAGTAGCTTTAGTTCAACAAGGTCAAGTACAGGTGCAAACTCTGCTGTCACTGTGTAAGTAAATATGTGCAATTGTTACTCCTTATTTTTTGCTTTGCTAACTCTCCAGAAATATTCCTAGGGATAGTACTGATGCTCCAGAAAAATGCCAGGCTGCTATTATTGAAACTTGTGGTGGGATAAGGGGGACAATTCCACATAGAACTACTGTATGATAATGTTAAACTATATAGCCATTCGTTTTTCTATTAACATATAAAAATCTCTAATGTATGTATAATGAATATTAGTTTGAATTCGGTACACAGGATGGCAGAGGAGCTACATTAAATATTTTGCAAGGTCAATGCATTATTAACATATCATTATGCTGTCTTTACCATGATTTGATGCCTCCTGCCCAAATCCCTCAAATCTTAATAATCCCATCCAACTGGAATTTTACTTTGCTCAACGTGCAATCGCTCAAGCATATATGCATAACATTCTTTAGGACCATTTCACACGATATTGTAGCCTCAGTTTTTACAAAATGTTTTTACGGATTACGCTGATTGAATCTGTTAGGGTTTACCTTTTAATCACTAAGCATTTTTTACTACTGCTAAATTCTGTTTTTCTGCGAAAGTGTGAGACCTAGGGTCGTGCAGTTATGTGATTTTTCACTCTTGCTCCGAGCACATTTAACAAGTTTTAAGTTTATTCAATTCTCGAAGACCTAAATAAAGACCTCGAAACCTCAATTCTCGAAGATGCTCTGGAATGGGTCTTCATAACAGTCACTGAACATTTCACAAAATTTTTGATTGATTTGCAATTTCATATAAGGTTGCACAAAATAATTATTTGTTTTGATCTTGACATGGACTTTCTCCTTGATAATAATAT